TGCTGACTTCCATGAAAACTATTTCAGGCTGGACTCCTGACATCCTGGGTCAATGCCCTGTATGTAAGATCACACTGCTTTCCCACAGTAGTTTGTAAACTTCAACAATAATCACGTAATGTTATTAAAAGGTAAGGAATTAGAATCCATGAATGGTATATACCAATACATAGTCTGACTCCTTTTGATAATTTCTATAGCTTTCTTTTGAAAACACTGTATTTTTCATGTTATCATTAGCGATCTTTAAAATTATAAATTTACATGTACATCTATAAATATAGATCTTTATAGTCACCGTATATATACATCTATATGGGTGTGGGTGGGTGTGTATATGCAAATTCTGTAAGTGTTGTAGTTTTTTAATGTACAGCTTTTATCCCTGTCTGGATATATAGATTTCAGATGTGGTCAGTGGGAAGGACCATCTTTTGCCATTTAAAATTATATAAACCAATAAACAGAAAATTTTAGTACCATTTCCACTGGATGCATACACGTGGCCCACGTCTGAGTCTTTATAACTTATGCCCTGCAACGGAGCTGCTTTTTTGTCTTCTGTCATCTGTGATAGCATTTGTGCTCTCTCAGCCTCCTGAGGCTGAGAAATTTTGTGAAAGATATGTCTATTCCACGACAGCTGTCTGATCCTTAAATTCCAAAATAGGAAAATTCTCCTGCTGTTCCCAAACGGTAGAACCACAAGCGCAGAAAGTCACTAACAGCTCTCATTGCTACCGAAACTCTGTCAGAGGATCCTCTTAGTGAAATCTGTAATGGTAAAAGGAGATGCAGAGAGTATGGAAGAATTACAGAAAACTCTGTCACACCAAACAGCAGCGTTGAAAAGGAGTCTGTTGCCCTCACCACTGCCTGCTATATCTGTCCTTGCCAGATCCCACGTAAAACATGAACATACGCACACACACACACACACAAATCGTTCGAGTCCCATACGGTTGACACACAGAAAGTCCAAGAGGAGTCATATGGGAATTTCTTTTAACTAACAGTGGCAGATGTTTTTCTTAAAGACAAAAACGCAATACATACATGCTTAACACTTAATAAAAATATCAGTATGTTTGTGCCTAGCATACTAGAACGTTGTTCAGTCTTAATTCAACCTTGCAAAAATATTATCAGTGTAATGCTGCCAAGGCCATTGTGTGGATTATTTGCGTATATCTTGGCCAACCTGGCCATGGGCTGTAGCCATTTTTATACTTGACTTTTTCAGAAACCTTTCTGTTTTGTTAGTGAATCAGTTTATCTTGTTCGCTCTCGTTCCCTTCCCTACTTTTATCTTTTATTGATTTCCTTTTCTCCTTTACTAGGCCACACTAAATGTCAGTGAAATCACCCATGTTGATGAATATTTAGGAGCAAGAGTTTGCTTTGAAGTTGCTCATTACATTTCAAGTTACATTAAAATATTCATACATACACACTTCATGTTTATTAATTGACTATTTGAATCTAGGATTTAGACTTTTATAACGGTAAGTGTTAATTTATTCTGATCAACAACAGTCACAAATTAACGGATTCCAAAATAGCATCTTTGCTATTTTAAATTTCAGACTTACCTAAATCAGAAGACCCCTCTACTCTACAAATGAATATTTCCATACACTAAAAAGTAATACAGTAGTTGCATACAAATGACAGGAAGATAACCTTCCACTTCGGATTATTGCATTATCCGGAAAAACATCTCTTCTTAAAGCTTAGCAGCCTACTGGTAGCCTGTTTAATACTTAACTGTTGAAAAGTGTTACCCTATAATGGTATAAGTATATACACCTATATGGTGAGAATAAACTCCATCCCTCTAATTATGTACCAGCCTCCTCCCTCTAATCATTTTGAAAGATGACCTGTAGGGGTAGGTCCAGCAGAATAACTTCTGCCTTTGCTTTATTATACATCTTCAGCCCTATGTCTTGCCCCCTTAGCTGTTGAATCTACCTTTGCTGCAACTAATTGAAAAAATCCCAAACATATCCACGTGCAAAACGCATTTCAAATTGCTGCCTTTTAAAATGAAACTTAATTTATCAAAGAAGCATTGCTTTCTCTGCTCAAATACAGTGTTCCATTCTTTTCTCAAACTATACTAGATTGACTTGCAGAACAAGGAGCAATTATTCTTGGGCTAATGGCAGGTTTAATGCCTCATGTCCCAAGCCAAAAATACAGCTTCTTGTGGATATTAGACAGGTTTCTTAGACTGTGAAATGCTAACTTTTAAGACTGTAATTTGTGTATTACTCATTTTTTTAAGATCCTGTAGTGTGAACACTGCATTTCTTCTCTAACATTTGCACATGTGAAATCATATTGTGAAGAGGACACAGGAAACAAAGGAATCTATGTTGGAGGGAATTTAGTTGTGAGGGAGTTCAGGGAATTGTCTTTCTTCCCTCTTCAAAGTCAGGGTTGGACAGAAAAGATGAGTTCTAAAAATGTGACAGCATACTCGATTAGAGGGCTAGAGGAAGCAAAACAAATAGCAGCAAACAGAAGATAAAGAACATATTTTATCCTCCAGTGGATACCTGGCAAAAGCTACTCCAGAAAGTGTTGTTGCCTGATAGAACTCACATCACATCAGGAGAGCAAACTCCTATAGATCAGGAGGAGATCGAAGAATTAGAAATGGAGTTCAGATGGACCACGATGGAGGAGAGGAAAAAGCGCCCTGCGCAGACCGTTCAGCATCTCCTAAGATAAACAGGATGGAGAAACTGGAGCAGGCAGACTTTGAAGAGTATGAGGCCAGGGAATAGTAAGGGATGAGCAAACAAAGAGAAACAGAACTGAGAATGACGCTCATGGTAGTGTAAAACAAAGAAATAGGCAGAAGGAAAAAAAACAAGTCTTGGCATATAGGATGTCTGTAGACAGGGGGACTAGGATGTTATATATATAAGGAGAATTCAAGTGGCATCACAGAACAGAATACTTCACAGAAAGCAGGTGAACAAATGAGGGATAACCTGGGATTCAGCACTTGGAAGAGACTACCCAGTGCAAATGGTGACAGGTGAAAGGACAGCCCCCGCTAGTCAAAGTAGACCTAGGACTTTATCACTTGCTAGTACATACATTGTGGGATGTTGACCTGAGGGTAATGGAGAAAAATCCACCAGTTATCTTTTATATTTGGTCAAATGACACTGCCTAATGACACTGAATTGTATCATCTGCTGAAAATGATGGCAGAGCTCAGAGAAATGGCGATTCCGGTGATCATCAGCAGAATTCTTTCCTCCTTAAAAAGAAAGAAGAATATGTGACAAGATAAAGCAGATCAAGAAAAAGTTCAAGGGTGGAGGCTAGGCAAAAGGTTTGAAATATGTGATCAATGGAAGACATTAATAACGTGAAGGGACACTTACCTGAATATCTCTGGCATTAGTTTTCAGCTAAGGCTGGGGCTAGCCCAGCTGACAAGAACTTCAAACTAAAAAAAAGGGGAATGAGATTTAGCAAAGATTCACGTTATCTGCATGCCTGATTTTAATAGATACATTTACCAAGGTAGCTCAGGCCAGATTAACTCAAAACTCTTTTCTAATATAAGTGAGTTTTTACATTGTTAATGTAGTAGGCTTACCCTCTGTGGAAGTTACAGAAGTATTTGGTATGACACCATATTGGGACATATTACTGAAGACAGATACAGAAAAGGTGGCTTGGCACACAACATTGCAAAATGAATCAGAACTTGGCTGAAGCGTTCCATTTAAAGGGAACTCTGAACTGAAGGGAAGCTAGTGGTGGTGCATACCTTCTACATTTTAGGACTGATTTTTAAAGCACTTTGTGCCCTTGTATGAAAAGCAGGAGTGGGCTAATGATTGAGGTGCAAGGCACAGCTATTTGATGCAGGATTGGAATATCATACAGGAAGACCTGGATGACATCGGAGGCTGGGGTAACTGAAATGGGACAGAATTAAAAGATCACTTACATTTCACAACAAAGGAAGGCTCCTTATCATTGGCGTATCAACCATCAGTAGGCTGTAGCTGTGAAAAAAAAAAAAAAGAAAGGAGGGGAGGAAACGCTGGAGACAGACACAGGGAAAAACCAATGCTATCACATGTGATACTAGCAATACTTCATCTGCATTTTTGTTTACAGTTCTGCTCGCTAGTGTTTAAGAAAGATTAATTCAAACTGAAAATCGTGCTGAGTACGGCTATGAGGGATCAGGCAAAAAGACAACCCTGTTTGAACAGAACTAACTAGGAACATGCTGCTGTTTTGACTATAAAACCAGGAGTAGAATCTGCTCATGAATACATTTAGGCTAGAAAATATTAAGAGGATGCCAATAATAAGAGGAGTGAACGTCTTTAACGGCCTCCTACAGTGCTGGGGCAATGGCCTTTTAACAGGGGTAAAACAGCTTAACTGGCGTTAAGCTTGATAAATGCATGCTTGATAAATTCACGGGCAGGGCCCGGGTCTTGGCTCTCTGCAGGCGCTGTCCCGGGAGGGCTGTATTTCAGAAATTCTTACTGCGGGAAGGTGAAAGGGATATTTCCGCAGCAGGACTTTCCACACGCGGCATTACTCTGGGAGGCAGCTATCCTACTTTAAATTCACGTTCTCTGATAACCTTCATGCGCGACCAAATCTCAGATTCCTGCGTCGCAACATAACCGCGGCAGCTCCGTTAACCGTTAGCAGGCAACGCCGCTGGCGCGTTCGGCTTTGTCACGGCGGGACAAGCGCTTCTGCCACCAGCGCTTCCCACAGCGCCCGTCGCCCTGCAGCCCCCCCCGCGCAGCCCACAAGCGGCCGTTTCCTCAGCTCGGTTTCACCCGATCTGCGAGGCCCGCAGAGGCTCGGGGAACCGGCCCGCAACGTCCCGGGAGCCGCCCGCCCG